ACTCTTTCACATGGCTTATTTAGAGCTTTTGAACCAATGCTGTTATATATATTTTAGAATTAGGGATTTTTTTGGAATCATCATTTATGTTTGCCTGTGTGATGCCAGTCCTCAATTATTGTTCATATTTGTCCTTGTTTTCTGTAATTCTAATGTATTTCATCATTTTTATAGTATTTCTTTGAATTGCCTGCCTTTTCTCATCATAAAAAGCCTGTAAATGTATCTGTAGTAACAACATTCCTGTTTGGTTTTTTGAATTAATAGTTATTAGGGTGTGTTGTGGGGTTTTTGTTCCTGAAGAGTTTGGGAGCAGGGGGAAGTGGCAATTTTATTTCTGAGGGGATGCCACAAGTCATTAAGTCCATTAAAAAACTTGTGTTGAGCAGCCTAGCGTTAGGCTGATGCAGTTGGATTTGGGGAAAAAAAAAGAGACCCAAAACCAGTGGTGTTGCCTATTTGGGCTGATTTTCTTTCTTTTTTTTTATGGCAGCAACATGGCGAACGCGCTTGCAAATGCCATCTGCGAGCGCTGCAGAGGTGGCTTTGCCCCTGCCGAAAAAATTGTCAACAGCAACGGTGAGCTGTACCACGAGCAGTGCTTCGTCTGCGCCCAGTGCTTCCAGCAGTTCCCCGAAGGGCTCTTCTACGAGGTAAGCGGGGCAGGGTGCCCCTCTCGCCCCCAGCCTTGTGCCTTCATTCCCGTAGCAGAAGTAACTACGGGCAGATCGGTAGCTTAGAAAGGTCCGTGGCAAGAATGGGGCTCCGAAAGGATACACACAAGAGAGGGAGAAAAAAGCAGAAATGTTTTTGTGCCGATTTGGAGGACATCAGTGTGTGTAACCTTATTTAAATGTGTAGCCTGATGTTATCAGAGCTGAGAAAAGAACTGCTGGAGATTTCTCTCTTAATGCAGACTTTTCCCCCTGAAATCTGTGAAGGCAATCTATATATTATACCAGAAATACAGAGAAAGCATACTACTTAGAGGAGAGCAGACATATAGAAGGAAACCCCAGCATCCTGCGGTCCATAGGAGGTTTATTGCTCAGTTGAGTGAGACCAGCACGGCATGTGAAAAGTTGCTTGTAGAGATGACCCGTAAGTCAGCATGCTTAGATTGGGGTGTGCAGAGAGCCCAAACCAGGCGGGGCCTATGTAAGGTCAAGTCTAGGTTTAACAAACTGGAGCATTCAAAATTAGCCGTTCTGACACGCTTTCAAGGGTTGAAACCCACTCTCATTCATATTTCTCAGCCCCAGGTAGACTGTCCTCAGCTCAGATGGGTATTTTGATATTAGTGTCATTTTGTTTTGCCTTCCCCTATCGTGGGGATTCAGGACGTGGCTCAGCTATCTCAAACACAAAGTGGCTTTAGTGAAAGCTTTAGTGAAAGCTTTAGACTAGTTCATGAAATATGAAGTGATTGGTATAAGGAAGGGTAGATGATGTGGGACAGGGAATTACTGTCTGAGAGATAAGGTCCTGCTCAAGCAGCTTGTAGTCCAACGTCCAGTAGCGGTTACAGGATTTATGTCATACTGTGATCTGAAAAGGAAGGTGAGCAGTGTGTTAAAAGCGCGATGCTGTGCTCTCACACACAGTGTGCCATCCTTGTGGTAAGAGCACAACAGTTTATCTTCCACAGTCGTATTTCTAATTTTACAGAGCCACATTATGTGGTGATGAGGAGAGGCTGAGGAAGGAGTGTGGATTGGAAAAGAGACTGGCAAAGGGGATTCCTGGGGTTTGCTTTCTCTCACCTTGTTTGAGGATCAAAAGACTTTTCAGTGCTGTAGGGATAGTGTTGCACAAATTGTGGTAAATGAGCCGCTAGTGTTCCATAAGATATCAAAAGGTGAGCTGCAAGGCAGCAGCAATTAAATAAAAACAAAACAAAACACCGCCTAGATACTTATACGTTGCATTATAATTGTTAATATATACTGAGCTGCTGCCTGCTTGCAGGCATGGTAAGGAGTCCATCCTGACGTGTTAAGACCTGAGGCAAACGTAAAGTGATACGAATGTTTTACAAGTAAAATATTTGTAATTGTGTTAATAAAATTATCTTAAAAAATAAAATGTATTTCCTCTAAATAATGAGTACTTTATTCATCCTTTTCCTGACTCAAAAAACAGTGAGACATTCCAGGGACCTCCTTCAGAAAGTTGAATGGTCCTTTGTTAAAGATAAAAGTTTGAGAAATCCTGCTCTAGGCAGCGTGTATCTCCTAGGGGATGGACAAGGACCACAATGGAAAGACACGCTTACTTTGCACCTAGTCCAGGAATATTACAACCTCTCTGTTGCTCATGGGTGGTCATACCTGAATCTCCTTGGCAGGGGCAAGTATCCTGGTGGTGTTTAGATATATTTGGTGTAGGCATTTTGCTTCCTACTGCTACCTTGTTAACATTCATATTCATTATGGTTGGTCTCTGAGCACTCTCTTACTGCAAAGTGATGCTCCCTGTTAAAGGCAGTAAGTCAGAAGTGAGTGTCAATAGATTGTCCTGGGAATGAAAGTAACCCCATGTACTAAACATGTTTTGGTTAACGTTGCTAGGTTTTTTTTCAGGCTGGGTAGAGACTTTGTTCCCTAGAAATGTTACATAGAAAGTGGAAAGTTTCAGTTAGGAATAGACACTTTTTGCCACAGATATTACAGAGGCCATATAATTGTGATGAGGATTCAATGAATACATAAAGACTTGTGTGTGGCTTGAACTTCACATCACCCTTCTTCCTCTAGCCCTTTTGGTGTCTACCACAAGATCTTGCAGTTTGTCTCCACACCAGCAAGTCTGTCTGCTGCTGTTGAAGAG